AAACAGCTTGGAATGCTTCGGTTTGTGAAAGTTTTTCACAACTTGCTATTTTTCCAACCCATTCTCTGACTTCTTTTTATTGCCAAATGCGATTGCATGGAACTAGTGTAGTCCAGTATGATTTGATTTCTAATTGTGTACAGTGATTCAGAATTCAAGCAAATTTTTTCTTTTTATTGGTGAAATAAAAGTTCTTTAGGGATGTTTCATGCTGTTCCCGCACCCTAATCACGAGTGTTACAGCTTGCTACTGTGACACCACAGACGTTGTGGTCGATGAGGAACCTGTGTACATAACATCTCCGCGATTCCCAAACTCATACTGTCCCAATTTCCGGTGCAAAAGGCAATTTCGCCATAGCGATACCTCACGTGAAGACGTCGGCTATTATTTTCTGGTTACAGTACATTTTCTTAGCACAGAACCCAACATAGACTACATTGAATTCCTCTCAGAAGGAACCCCTTTATACAGGTAGGAATTATAGTTTTTCTGGTCTGGTATAGGAGAAAAGAGGCCACATTTAGGTTCAACGGAACTCATGAAGACGTGCGATTTGTTGTCCCGAATGACGTCATGGAAACAGTGTTTGTCACCGACGATTCGGTGGAAGCTCATGGATACAACATGACTGTTAAGTCGATCCGTGTTCCCATAGGTGATTGATTGGTTTATTGCTAAGTTCTTTACAACCTCCCGCAACGAGGCGAGAAAACATCAAAAATGGGCTTGTCTTTTTGTACATTACATTTATAGTCGTTGACCCACTTAAACTGATCGTTTCTATCCATGATGCCTCTGTTGGATGGAGAGTGACGCTACCAACTCTTTTGTATATTTCTAAAACGACCAAGTCTGGAAATTGGAGCTAAATTCCCTGAAGTAGACGTTTGACTAGGGCGCTTCTTAATTACTTTTTCCACGAAGGACGGAAGTTGGGTCGCAGAGTATCTTTGAATGCCTTTTCGAACTGATTCTCTGTTCCGGTGCTTCTCCGTTTATGGGACCCTAGAGGTGCTCCTATCACACTCGCCAGTTTATTGCTACCAAGGGGCTTAGATAGCTAGAGTGTTAATAGGGGCTCCATGCTTGCAAATCTGTCATCTATCCAGCTGCAGCAGCCAAGCTGGTTCGATACAAGCTTAACGACGGTTAGAAGGAACAGGGAAGACTTATAGGGGGGACTTTAACCTAGTGAATGCTGGCTGAGAGCTCCTAAGGCTTCCTACAGCCTGCCAACCCCACCCGATTACCGCCTCTATCGCGCCACCTCACGCTCTGTGCATGGGGGAAAAAATTCGGGATGGAGGAACGGGATGTTTTAGCGAAATTGGCCTACCTTCGAATCGAAGCGTCCCTACAGTCTAAAAACTCTGCGGAAATTCTTCCATGTGTCGGAAGGAACTGAGCAAAACAACCGTCGAGCAGTGCAACCTGCGCAGATGTTGAGAAGCTACGCGCAAAAGTTGCGTACGAGTGGGAGACGGGCCAAAGGTGAAAGGAGGCGGGGCCCCAAACAGGGGAAGCCGTCGACGAAGCCGAAAATGAAGTCCCTCACCCAACAGTAGCGAAGCAGGGAGGCGCATCCGAACGAGCTTTCCGCGCTTGCCAGAAACTGCTAAATGCTTCTGCTAGCAGTCGATCCTGCAACCAACTGATTTCAGGCCGTGATCTAGCCTCGCACCTTCTCTGGCGGTGTGCGGTCATAGCCTAGGTAAACTTAAATACTAGGCAGAGGTTTTATTACCGCGCGGTTTCGAGTACGAGAGCAGCATCACCCAGTGGTTGCAAAAACTGCCACAATGTTGGTGCAGGGGTTTGCCTAATGCAATCCGTGCCTTCATGTTGTGTTCGGTCAGGAGCTCGTATGCATAAGATTTGTGGGATGACCAAGTTCGTACAGCTCATACTTTATGAGGGGTGGACGGGGACATTGTTGGTGGGTGATTGAAAGTGGTTGCAACTGATAAGGGCTGATAAGGGGCGTCAGAACGCAAAAGTCGTCGATTCCGTTACGCAGCTCGCGTTGACACTAGAGCGTCCATACTCGCAGGTGTTATGTGGGGTGGGACGGGGACATTGTTGGTGGGTGATGAAAGTGATTACAACTGATAAGGGCTGATAAGGGGCGTCAGAACGCAAAAGTCGTCGATTCCGTTACCAGCTCGCGTTGACACCAGAGCATCCATACTTACAAGTGTTATGTGGGGTGGGACGGGGACATTGTTGATGGGTGACTGGAAGTTATAACAACTGGTAAAACATATTCTCAGCATAGGAACTTAAGTAATTGACTTTGCTTTGTGTTATCCCTTTATGGCTCTTTCGGACACTGAGCTACAAGAATATCAAAAGATAATCATTTAGAGTGCCTGTGTCCACACAAAGGAGTGAAATCCATGCTATCGAAAGGAAGCATCAGAATGTATATACCAGGACATTGCACAGTTTCTGACTGTGAATGGCTTATTCCTCCAACAGGAAACCTTCTGGTACCGTTTAAATAATTCATTCCAAAGCAGATGGAAGAACGAAAAAATTAAATTAATTATGTATGTGGCCTTTGCCGTGGCCATGGGTAGAGCTTTGTTCGCATTTACTATCAGTGCGCTCCTTTCATTGTGAAGTCGCCACCATCGTTCCCTTAGGGACTTCAGTCTCCTTCTATAGGGAGCAAACAAGAAGTAAAGTGTATTACTCTTCTAAACACACTTTACCGTACCACGTGCCCCAAACCAGGAAGGTCTTTCAGAAGACGACAAGTTTTTCGAAAACGGTCTTTTGCATGATACTGGAGCACATGTGAGAACTACAGAACTACGGATAACCTCGCCTTCAGAAGACCAGAAATTGTGCAATTGCAGAAATTGACGTGGCATTAACGTGGCATCGATTCAAGAACATCTTTGAGCACACGTGATGTCACCTTTTCATCGAGAATTTAGCCACGTGTGCCACGTGGATTTCTGGCTGCATGAAACAGAGTGTATTTCCTACCCCCCCTCGCACCGCAACAATTGCCGGTAAGTGTCCTTTCGTCCCAAAAAGCGGTCTTGTTCGATCTCTCATGGTGAAAGTTAGTTTTTCAAACCGAAGCCTATTTATAAGAGTTATTGACGGTCCTGATTATGAATATGACACTCAATTCATGCTAACTCCATTTTGCGCGGATTTCGAACGTCAGCTCGAAATGTAAAAGTTGTGCCACCACGCAGGAAGTCGAACCAAGGAAAAACTGGTGAAAAAGGTGACTAGGGACCCCTTTTCTGGTATTCAGAGGGCCGTTCAGGAAAAATTAACCATGGTTCTGTGGTTCCCGCATGTGCCCCTATATCATGCAAAAGACCGTTTTCAAAAAGCTCGGCACGCCCTGAAAGACCTTCCTGGTAAATCGAACTTTTGAATTAGTTTGCTGCCTTTCAGAAATTCGCAGTCATCTCCAATTTCACTAGTGATTACGATGCTTTACGGTAACTTCAGGAGGGACTACGAAACGGTATGCGTGAACACGATTCTTATAAAAAGATAAATTCCCAGTATTTCTTAGCTTTTTGAAAAACGTATCTGAATGAGATCACAATTTTCCTGTTTGAGAAATAGTAATAGTAAAATTTTTCACCATCCCATAACTGAAAACATTTAGATACGGCAGGAGCACAGAAGGTCCATTTGCAAGCCTGTGGCAGATTCCCCAAAATTCTCTATCGACTACAATATTGTATGAACGCATGGTTCCCGAAGGGATTGCACCTGAATTGGAGCCAGTTTCATTTTCTGTGAGATGGATGCCCAAAGATGGTACGGGACTTATGAGGGATGGCTTCCAGCCTTACATGGGAGTTTATGTGGAGGCTTAGGTAAATCTATAGGGTGAAGATTACTCAAAATGCAATATGAAGAGAATAAAGCCTTCCACGAAATATTGCTTGTGCACGTGGCACTGGTGGAACTGCAAAGGTTGGTTCCCTTGTTAGATTTTCCTTTCCTGCATCTTGAGAGTATCGTGGGGCTTGACCGGGTGAGTTACAAGCTAGCAACTTCCAACCGACTTCAGGTCCTGAAGACGACGAATTGTTCGAAACGTCGACCGAATAAAGAAGTTCCATCGTAACAACCTGTATGGCAAAACAACAACAAGCAATATTTCCAGCATGCCCAGGTTTCAAGAAGACCGAACATGGAATCTGCCTTCCACGAAAGTTGTGAGCGGCTAAAGTTATCAGAAAAAGCAGCGAAAAAGCAAGATGTGGCCCCAAACTGGCGTTGAAGGGCTCCTGTTCTAAAGGTGAATGTCATGTTATGATCACATCACCTCACCGCCACACCATACAGGCAAAGTTTCAGCGAAATCAACGGCACAAATACAAATCGATTTAGCTCATTTCATAGACTAACACTGCATTTTCTGCCAACTTTGTCCCAACTTGTGTGGAAAGCTCGCGTAGCAGTTTTGGTCTCCATATTGTCACTTGCATATTGGCTGTATCGATTTACCTAGGTCTCCATTCAAAGTTCCATGAGAATTTGGAAGCCTTTCCTGGTTTGAGAGTAACTCATTTTCCATAGCTACCTGTTCTTTTTCAGCTTGTTCATGCGAAGAAATATTGGAACGCGATGCCATTGTGGGTAAATGGAGGGAGCTGACGTCACCAGAGTATCCGCTATCCTACTGCAATAACATGCACTGCGTCTCGAGAATTGCAGCTCCAGCAAGGTGAACCCATCGAATAATTCGCAAATATTGCTGAGTATGGTACTTCCAACGAAGGGTCACTGAAGAACTGGGTAGTTGATCATCCAATTTCTTTGATACGGCCATGCAGCATACCCTCCCCTTCAAAAAGCGAGAAAGTGTCGGGTGCAGACCATGCACCACAAGTGACGACGGCCTTCACAAAATGTTAATGTTTTCTGCCAATGAAATGATTAGCCTGTTGCAGTTGTATTCTATCATTGTCACTAATTACAACTATCATTTACCAGAAATCAGCTATCACTATGAACCTAACCAGATTTACTTGGAGGCCGTCGTCAGTTGTGGTGTTTGGTCTGCACCCGACACTTTCTCGCTTTTTGAAGGGGAGGTTACATATTTTGCATGGGAGACGGTTAAACAAATAGATTGCGGTATATGAAGGTGCACATTTATTGTGTCTTACGATGGGTCTCGATCACATATCATAATGTTTACAGCTTATGAACTATTTCACAGGCTCAGGCTTAGCCCCATCGCGCCTAAAAAACGGCGACGCCGCGTGTCCCCCCCTCTCCCTCCCCAACTCACTTACATAGCACCCTAGCAATTTATCGCACGCACTGCCTTTCTGCCGCTACTGGTGCTAATTCCAGTGATATTGGTCTCGAACACGCATTTTTTATACTCCTTGCAGGCATCGTGTTGTGTTGAACATCACCGACTTCTACACGGAATTGTACAGCGATTTCTTGGTATTATATGATGGTCGTGACATCAATAAAGAACATATAGCGATGTAAGTCACAAATTAGAGAAGTTGGACCTTTTAATAGGAGATTTCTATCCTTAATGTCGTCTCCGTGTTTGAGAAGGAGCTCTAACCATTCGAAAAAATGATGGAATGTGAAATTATGAGTGTGGGTCCGGTCCTCGACCTTGTAAGTGTTACAATTTTTCCGAATCTTGACCGGAACTGGCAGATTAGTCATCTCGATAGTAGTGCACTCGCGGTAAGGCGCAAAGACAAGCAGAGACCGTGGATGTGTAGCTGAGAATTTTCCAAGTGGTGGAAGTGGTGGATCGTTCTGGAGAGGATCGGAGAAATGAGCAGTCCCGTTAACGAGAAGGAGGTTCTCGTCAAGGTTTCGTTTTGATATAGCCAAGCCAATCGATAACGGAGTCTGGTCAGGGCTCCTCTCTTCAACCTGCATGGCCCGGCGTTGTTGTGACTTTTCGGCTGAATTTTTGAAATAGTCTTCTTTCAATTCTTCAAGGTTCTCCGGAAAAAAGGTGTTTCCTGAATTGATTCGAAGCCCTAACGAGACGCTTTCGTTGGTTTTCAAAACGGACCATGATGTCACCTACAGAGGGTTATCATCTACTTTATTCTGCGGGTACGTTCTCAATGTCACGCTATTTAGAATCCTGGCTAGACACGTCTGCAATAGGCTGGATCTAGGTTTTCGGCGACAATATTTAAGTCGGAAGGGATCGTTCTTTCTCACTGCAACATGAGGCTATGTAAAATTCCTGCAAACCATAATACTGGCACGGATACAAACACCAGTAACGGGCGGTAACAAAAAGACATTTGTCCTCAATTCAAATTGGATTTAAACTTTGCTACAGCTCAAAGCGTGGGCTCCCAGCCAACTTTAGAACATTGCAAGAATTTTTATTAGAAAATCGGCGAACGCTAATGTGGAGCGGCCTCAGAAAAGTTGTCCCGAAACCAGGTGCCTGGTCGAGTAATGGATATCTTGAAACTGATCAGTACTGTTACGACAGGGTTTCTTTGAAGGGGCGAGTATCCCGAGGAGTTGTAATAGTTTCGCCTAGGAATTTATGCCACGTTCAATCGATCCTTAAAGAAAATTATGTAAGAGCTTCAGGCTGAAGCAGTTACTGTAGGCCTCCCTGAGCTCGACGACGGTGACAGAGATGACGTCATATTCTGAAGACGGTGAGGGTAGTGAAGGAGGGCCTGCGTGTACTTATAGAGGGACATTTAGGGAATATTCTGCTGAGGAACTTCCGTCAGGACTGGCAATCTCTGCGAAGAAAAAAGGCCGCAAGTGCAAACCTGGGCAAAATGTCTTTTTTTGCCCGCTCTGTTACACAGAAATGGGCCTAAAATTCGTGGTCACCGCTAGTGCAGCCCGGTCAAATACACCTTTTTCCGACCCTCACCTTCTTTTTTTTTTCTTCTCTTTTTGGGCTTTAATACTGATTATGAGGTACATTGCCGCTTCTTAATTAGAATTGAATATCATTCAGTTCTCAGAATTAGTAGAACGACCACTTCGCGGTTTGCGGGACAGCGCAATCGGGAGGTTGCAGCTATCACCACGAAAATGTTAGATGTAGAAACTCGTCCTCCTTTTTGCGATAAGTTCTTCCTCATAGCCCGCCATTGTTTTCGAAACGAATAACGAGAAGTAAATATTAGGTACCGGATATCTTAGTGTCGCTTTTCTGAGTTCAGGAAGTTTTGGGGCCGATTACTATGGAAAATCAATATCCCAGAAGGCAGTTTTTGCTCATTAATATTGCGAAATATGTTGCTTACCGTCTTCTATTGTTGGTTCACAATTTAACTTTCCCCCAATTTTTATACTTTCTTCTGAAAATTCCTGGGTCCAGTGTGCAAATTCGCATGTGTGTGTACCAAATGCATCAAAATTCTTGCTGAGAGCTGTAACCTCCGCCCACCAAACCAGCATTGCATTTGATGGAGGGAATACTACCATTTAAAATGCTCATCGGTTTTTCACAGTTTTCTTAAAAGACAGTAAAGTCTTTGAAGGGATGCCCGCAACCGTCGCCAAAAAGGTGGTCCTAGCTAAATCAGTCAAAACGGGGCTGCACCAGTCTTGTGCTGGAATGGTAGGACACCCTAGCAGTTACTGATCGATGGTGCACAGACGCTCTAACGAAGTTGATTGACCAAGAAATTCTAATAAATGTGCTCATCTGCTACTCACGTGTGCTCAAAAAGGGTGCGTTTTTGACCCTATGTGGCAAAAAAGACTCCGGGAAAAATTGTCCAGTTGAGCTGGTAAGTAATAAATTTTCCACCAAACAGTGCAGACCCTACTCTAACTAAATGTATACATATTTTGTCCAGGCCCAACTGTTTAGCAAGGTAGAGGGATGATTTGTCAGATGATGTCAAATTCGACCTACCTCTCTTTTTCGTCTCAAAAAATTCCTAACTTTAATCGTACGAGGTTTTCACTCATACTGGTAAATGGGAAAGGGCTAATGAGTCATTCGATGGATATGCCGTTTCACTCACTGGATTTTGAATTAAAATATTGGTGGTCCGAAACTCGCGGTGAAAAAACGACACTAAGATATCCGGTACCTAATATTATAACTTATTGTATCCTCAGATTTGACGACGATGGTACCGTAAGTTAAGTGTGGGACAATATTGAAATTTATTACCGAATTAAGCTGAATGGCCGCTGACAAAAAAAGTAAGAGATCTATCTAATATAGAAAATGATATAGGATTTCAAATAAATCAACTTTTTCATATGGTTTTACACATGTCGCAGTCGGCCACTAAGGAGACGCGCGCATTGTTTCTGAGATTTATCGACCTTACTAAAACTAAAAATTCCTTCGCAGAACCCAACGACGATATTGGTCCAGAACCCAGTGAGGATGTTGGTCCAGAGCCCAGTGACCACGCGGCTCTACTGGATCGAGGATCGATCTCATACATTACGGTCGTAATTGTGTTGTTGTCCGTGTCGAACACAATCCTCCTCCTTCTTCTTGTGTATAAAAGGTGGGTTTTTTGAGCAGTTTTGCGGCAGTTCCTTCACCACGTATTACTCACGGGATTCTCTGTATCTCAACGGAGCCCTATA